AAGCCAGACATACCAAACAACCCAGACATACCAAACAACCCAGACATACCAAACAACCCAGACATACCAAACAACCTAGACATACCAAACAAGCTAGACATACCAAACAACCCAGACATACCAAACAACCCAGACATACCAAACAACCCAGACATACCAAACAACCCAGACATACCAAACAACCCAGACATACCAAACAACCCAGACATACCAAACAACCCAGACATACCAAACAACCCAGACATACCAAACAACCCAGACATACCAAACAACCCAGACATACCAAACAACCCAGACATACCAAACAACCTAGACATAGCATAGACATACCAAACAACCCAGACATACCAAACAACCCAGACATACCAAACAAGACACACATACTAAACAACCCAGACATACCAAACAACCCAGACATACCAAACAACCCAGACATATCAAACAATACCAAATAACCCAGACATACCAAACAATACCAAACAACCCAGACATACCAAACAACCCAGACATACCAAACAAGCTAGACATACCAAACAAGCTAGACATACCAAACAAGCTTGACATACCAAACAAGCTAGACATACCAAACAACCCAGACATACCAAACAACCCAGACATACCAAACAAGTCAGACATACCAAACAAGACACACATACCAAACAAGCCAGACATACCAAACAAGTCAGACATACCAAACAACCCAGACATACCAAACAACCCAGACATACCAAACAAGTCAGACATACTAACCAAGCTAGACATACCAAACAACCTAGACATACCAAACAAGTCAGACATACCAAACAACCTAGACATACCAACCAAGCTTGACATACCAAACAACCCCAGATAAAGTAACACGACATCGCTTATTCAGAAAAAACATATAAAACAAAACAAAAAACAAAAACATTATACTATGTGCATGTACAAACGAAATCCTGGTAAACTGTAACAAGATTAGCTTTGGCGCCGTAATGAATACACTCATACATGTATTAAACACTTTCCGTCCTGTTTATGGATACATCTAAGTGTTGGCATACAGGACAGCGTATATGTATTTAAGTACATTACATCTACACAGACAGTGTGACTGCGATGGCAATTAACGTTTATAAGCTTAAAACATCCAAATGAAGCTAGTTGATGTGACAACACGCAGTAACAGTGGATTCGTTCATGGTAAAAATGTCATGGTTACAAACGATGGTTAGATCGGTATGTGATGCTTTCACATTCTAACCGACCATACCCAACATCCCTATCCAGAATCTACATCCAGCATGTAATAAGAAACCACTAGATGGAAGACGACTACAGTTAATACTATAGAAACAAGTGAACTGATTTGTTTTACTGGTAATGTACTTTAGAAGTGAGTCACCCGGAAAATGTCCCGTAACAACTGACGGGCAAATTATCCCGTAAATTGAAAAACTACTGCTGAAGTGTATCGTGCATTTAGTCAGACAAATCAGGAAAGAATATAAATAAAGAAAGTAAGTCAGTTGTCGGTATGTTTTTGAAATTTATCAGAGTGAGACAGACCGCAAGTTAAAAATAATATACAGCATTAATATGTTGTAAAGTTTACCAAATATTTGCCGTAAATCCACATCCCAATACTTCAGACTACATAATGGATATAAGTTAAAATCAACAGTGTTTCCCGAATTGTAGAAGTTTAGGACAAGGGCAATTAACACTTGACAGATAGGCATTTACAAGAGTACACGATTTTGTCAGGACTTCTAGGGTCTGCAAATGTACAACTTCCACCATGACACGCATAATATGTAACTCCCTCCGCTCGTGCATTCAACGATATGTCCATCACATACCACGTGACTCTTTTTATTGTCACAAGGTCTGTTACTAAAGGTGACCGTAAGTTCACTTTTAATTAGCATAGGTAGATAAATATGTAATAAATGTAGTAGGTTTCCTTGATGAAAGATTAATATATAAAAAAACCAAACAACAATAGGTTTTCGTTTCGTCAGAGAAAGTTAAGGTCAAATTTCGGAGAACAACAGAGCAGTTAACATCTGTGATATACAAAATGTATACGAAAGGTCAAGGTCATCCGTCAGATCCATTTACTACGGCCGTATCATTTATTAACATTGCAAACATTCCTTTTTAAATCGATTAGGGAGTACCGCATGTTTTTAAACATGTATCAACTTTCCCACACTTGTTAACTCTAGCGGAAATCCATCGACCCCTGACCTTTCCATGCACTTTTAAGACCGCTACTTGTGTGTCTAATTCGTCCGGTATTTTTAGTAGAGCGGGTGGTATAGGTGAAACTTTTATACTTAATGCTGATGAAGAAATGATAATTTTTTGCAGAATTTTCAAGTCTATTTCACAAGCACAATGTTGAAGGGATAGATATTTTACAATACATCTAATCTACATCTTGGAAGTTGATGTTTGGAGTTGTGACTTGACCAAAGGGTTGTCCCTCTGTCGTTAAAAACAATTGTGAATACTGAATCCTCTATCTGAATAATTTTAAATAAGTTTTAATTTTTAAAAAAAAAAAAAAAAAAAAACCTCCATCAGAATAGTTTCATGCGCAAACATAATTCGCACTGAATGCCAGAGTTATAAGGTTGATTGATTGAAGTCTTCTTGCCTTGGTAGTTTGGCGGTAAGAATGAAACAGCCAAAAAAGTAGTCCCCCAGTGACATTGCTGAGTAGTTTATACTTTCCTCTCCCTGACCAGTAAATTATTGTAAGATATTATTGACAGATGTACCTACATTTACCAACCACGGACTAGTGCCTTAATTTGACATGTTGCCCTGATTAGGGGATCTATGTTTATTCATGGAGATTCCGTCTTTCTTGATTCACAGATGATGGACAGACCGTGTTACCATCTCCTCTACACAAGATGGCGAATATGCTAATTTAAGTGAGACAGACTGTTCTCCACCAGCGACTTAACTAGATATTTTCTGTCAACGAAATAAACAGAGAAAGTGTTTTACCTAGCTATATGATAAGCCTGGAGATTTCGACTTCCCTGTTGTAAATGTTCCATTTCTGGTGAGATACAACCCTGCATGCCCAAATTATGCTGCTGACTTGTCACAGTTGATTCGATATTCAAAAGTTTGTTCTTAATATCACGATTTTCATGCAAGATATCAGCAACTGATATACATCTCACATCACATAGTTCAGAGAGATGCATGTTGCTGAAAATGAAAGGGTAATTTTAAGGTCGACATAATGATCCCATTAAGTATCATATTTCCTTATATGGTATGAAGATGGGCGTGATTGGTGTTCATAAGTATATGCGTTGGTTCCGTTGTTGTGTACCCTGTTCTCATTTGATAATTTAACTTACTTGTAGTGACCAAAATTTACACAGCGGGTGTCATATATGAAGCTGAAGACGCTGACACTTCCTGAACACATGGTCTTATTCTTCTTGTACTTTTTTGAGAAGTCTCCGTGTGAAGATTTCTGATGTTCGTAGTTTGTTCTAGTTTTATTGATTGTGGGTTTTGTTTACAATTCTGTTTAGAAGTTGGTATTTTCTTAGCTGTTTTTATAACAAGTCACCTTTAAATATATTTTCTTAGTAATATGTAGCTGCTGAACGCATCTGCTTGAGACATTTCATTTACATTTTCCATTAAGCAAACACAAGAAATAATATTATTTAAGTAATGCAAGACAAGAAACAAAATAAAAAGATGCCGCATCAATAGATAGGGACTTTTTATTGGGATTTATCAATATTAACATGATGGATGCCGTTTCTGAAACAGAAAACGCTTACTCTTCCGGAACACCATGTTTAATCTCCTGTAAAACATCATATTTTCCCATCATTTAATCAATTTTAAGTTTAAGTAAGCATGTCAGTATACACTTGTTGCAACAGAAGAGAAAACGGACCCTAAAACCAATCACCGATAACCCTTTTTCCTACAGATTACAAAACACACTGTTAACTAGTGCATGCAATGTATTTGTTTCTAAGCAGCCATATGGCGGTAAATCACGGAGTATGAATCACTCGGCATCTTGTAATTAATCACGTAATCAGTGTTACATGTACATAAAATCGTGTCCGTTTTAACATAGAAGTAAATTTATCCAACGTTGGATCTTTGATGTAATTGATGAATGTCTAATTGCCGGTCATTAGCTGTTATTTACATCAGACATCTATTATTGTCCTTTAAATGTATGTAACCAGTGTGTGAATGTTTTGCCGGCAGTTTAAAATGTTTCCCCCATTAATTTATGTGCCGTGTTATAAGAGCACCTTGCGTAAGACCTAACTTGCTCTAAGAAGTGACAAATATGAGATAATCTTCAAAGAGATGTTGATGTTAAACTCGGATGATCATTATTCGTGCAGGTAAGGATGTGTAGCTATCCAGGTTACATACCGTCAGATTAGTATCCAGTGAAAACAGGATTTGTACACTTATACTGTTTTGAAATGCCATGGCCGGTTTGTGTTTGTTTTGTTTAATTCACTAAGACATGATCATGTCGTTATTTAGGCATTCGTTTGGTGATTTAGAGTTTTAAGCAAAGCAGTGTAAGGGAATCATATTGATAAAATATTTCTACTCTCATCTTCTATAATTTCTTTGTCCGTATAGGTAACGACACGTGTCGATAATGATTCATTCATGTAATGCCGTATTTAGTTAGATTTAGTAAATTATGAAAATAATGACAAAGACGTGTCGTTCATATAATTTCCACTAGGGTTTATGTTTTAACGTTCATTTTCTAAACATTTTGAATACACAGTATAAACACCAAAACATATTTATAGTAATTGTAATTCTGATACATACAAGAAAGTTGACCAGTTATGTCACCTGTTGAGCAAAACAAATCGCAACATAGTAACCAACATATAAACAATTAACAACTTTGTTTAAAAATAAGTAATACAATTCGCCCTAAGCAAAACATTTACTTTGATGTAATGTTTGGAAAAAGTAAATCAGTTACTTTTTGTCTTACTTGAAATACCATTGTTATTCATATGATACAAAAGACATAACCATTTATTGAAAATTACTGTTACTATATAGCCTGCCAGAAAGACGAAAATCGCCACGACCATCAGGATGTCTAAAAGATAGTACTGGTACCAAGGCATGTCTGCCGAGTACGAGTGGATGAACTTGTTTCCGTACCGGATAATGTGATCTATCCAATAGGAAGCCCGTTGTAACGGACTTTCAGTTCGGCTATGAAATATCTGTGACGCATTCTTTATATTATTGATATATATATGCTGTGATGTAACATTTGTTAAAGCATTCTTAATGTCATCGATACTGCATGAGCAAAAATCGAGAACGACGCCATATCCTTTTTGCCTCATGCGTTCACAGTTGTAATATTGATCGGAAAATAAAGGAAAACCTATCATCGGGACCCCGTGATATAAGGCCTCAAACTGACCGTTGTTTCCACAATGGGTCATGAACGCAACAGTCTTAGGATGACCTAGAAGGTCATTTTGTGGTATCCATGGCGAAAACATGATATTATCCTCTACATATCCTGAGCTGCCATGTTTTACGATGAAATTCAAATCAAGGCGTTGTTTAAAAGCTTGAACAAAAATCCCAATTCGTTCTTCAGGGAAACCATTTAATCCGCTTCCAAACGAAACGACCACAGCCCCATATTGACTAGAATCAATGAATGTTTGAAACATGTCTGTGAGAGTGTTAGGCGGTGTCGTAGAAATCCCTCCAACAAACGCAACGTGAGGTAATGACGGTTTGGGATAGTCAAGGAGAAAGTCTGTTTCGACCAAATGAAAAGAAGCGTTTGACATCAACTGAGTTGATGTGACTGGAGACTTGTTCGGTGTGTATTTTGCGACATTTGTAAGTGACACTAGATAACTTGGAGCCAATTCCATTACAACAGATGTTAGAACATTATGCATTCTTTCAAAGAAACTCATTCTGTCACTAAGAGCATACCGGAAATAAAAAGGAGTCGAAGCTGGAGAAAATGGAACTCTCATTCTTACAGGGTCGTACAGAACTCCAAAAAAGATATAAGGTAGAGACAGCTTATAAGCGAAAGAGGAAAAACATTCTGCAAGTGGTACGTTATCAATAATGGCTAACCTAAATTGTTTACGTTTGAGAAGTGTTAAAAGGAGTGTGTCGTTGTGAAAATTATCGCATGTCTTCACTACATCCCATTTTTCGGAAAGACTTGGTTTTTTGCCTGCTCCTTTTAAGTGACATATTTCTTTAGCTAATCTTGTCTCTGCATCCTTCACGTCAGCTTTATCAAGTGCACTGGAAATAATGATATGGATAGCAGAGTTAGACTGGAGCTTCAAACTACTCGCAATCGTCGTTGATGTCACGACAGTGGCCGAATACCCATAGGTTTGAGTCACATGACCGACAACGTCCATCAGGTTACGAGTGTGACTGAAGGTCGGTAAAGCAAGCACAAGAATGTTTTCACTTCTATCTGCAAGCACATGGTTTGCAAATAGAGCATATGCTACAACGATCTGGAGAAGCATCGACCTGAAACACACAAGAAGGTCTTAAATAAAGTCAATCTTAAAATTAACATCAAATATTCTCAACGTCGGCGTATATAAAATTCAAGCCATTGATATCCGATTAAATTCATAGATAAGTACACGTATATATCATTAAGACAAAATATGGATTTATGGTGAATCTAAGCCAATTAATCTATAAATAGTAATTTCAAAGCAAAATTCAGTTTTCTAGCATATAACAAAATACTTTGTAGTTTCTTCTGAACTGAATTGAGAATGTTTTAGCACTTGAAAGTTCATATAACCGTATTTCGATCTATTAGTTAATACATCGCTTGTTGTGATGAAACCATGGTGATGGTATTATCAGCGTCATTGGCTGTTGGTATTTGATAGGCTACTGGAAATAACTGAACTCTGTCAGTGTTTCTGTGGAGTGCATTGTAACTTTTTGGAATAGAAAGTAAACGAACCAAGCTAATTGGGTACTAATGTTTAATGTTTTCAATTGAAAAGTTATACTTAATATGCTACAGTGTCAACTGATCGGTAATAGTGTTGTACCACTAAATTATTGTGTAGGGGAATATTACGAGTTCATCGCATGGTAAGGATAAAATTCGAAATAATAAAAAACAAGGAGTGTGTCATATTTCTGCGCCAAGCTGTTGGTAAACAATCCAAATAGGCATGTAGATATTGCCCGTGTCATAAAAATTGATATTTAACTGTTGATACTTTGTAATGTTGGCGTTGTCCGTGAACATTCTTTGAAAAAAAATAAATAAATAAACTCTTGCATGGCATTTATCATATGTACTCGGAACGGTACAAAGATTAACCAGATAAGCATGCAAGAAATTAATTTTGTATGTCTGACTAAAACTATTATGAATAAAACTAGCGAAAAACTCCATCGAGTGACTGTTCTGATGATACATACAAAGGGTTGGAAAGACGAGTTAAGTTGTTTTAGAGCGGTTGTCTGGAAAAGCTCCTCAGAAGGAGACACATAGCCGGTCTATATGAAATATCTTGTGAAGGATAACACATCGAACGACGAAAACCGTTGGAGATCGACTGGTGTATTGCAATCTATTTGTCCCCCCCCCCCCCAAGAAACGTGCGTTGCATTACAGAAAATACACCCAGTCTGCTTTCTTTTAGTAATATTCTGAAAGATTGTTTGGGTTATGACAGAGTGAAGTCGTCACTACCTAATTTTAGTTCATTAAATGGGGAAACGTGTTAGACGCTAAATAGGAACGAAGGTTTTAAGTCTTAGGTGTTAAAGAAAATTGCTTTAATGAGGATTATACCAATACATATATGTTTATCGTATCAAATCGCGATTACTTCCGCTTATGAAAGTAAAATATGCTCAGCGATAGAATTCGGGACGGGTTTTAAACACGTATAGTTGATGTGTGTGAATAATATGGAAAAAATAAACACAACTAAAAATCCCCACCTCAGTGTTAAAATAAAAATTCGAGTCATTGCTGGAACCGTTTGTGTTGGCGGAATTACAAAAAAAATCTATTCAGGTCATGTTCATCCTGAAGGTTTCCTGCTATAATAATATGACCTATGATGCCTCCTTGACTCAAAGTTCTTGAGTATAGCCTAAAGTCTCTTTTGTAGAAGGAAAGGAGAAATGAGTTGGATCGTATACATGTCAGGATTCATTGATGATTTTTTTTAAACGAAAAATCAGTTATTACTGAAAAAGATGTTCACAGAGATATAGAGAATATGTTAGAATATAATAACGTTATTTTCAAAATGTCCACTCATTTAACTACCCTTCAGATACCATGAAATGTTTTGATTTTTTCATCGTGTTTTAGATCATGATAATGAACAAGTAACATATTGTAACTTGATATTCACTTACCTAGAAAATCAAATCAGAGCACATGTAGACACAAATACTCCCGGGCTTGAGTTTGTATGCACTTTGTCAGCGAAAACCTTTTGACCGTCACATATGTACACAGCTTGTCCAAGCTTAGTGATATGACTGCTGTCGTTGGTGTCAGCTCAGCTATAGTAGCCCCTTGAAATAATTTATTGTGTATATTAATAATTGTGATGTTTTCGCACAATGTATTTTCTCAGCCGCTTATATACGTGAATCAATTTTCAATTAGGACAACATTCTTGGGCTCAGTCTTTTAATATCGTATACGAATTAAACATGGAGTAGCAGTGTAGATGTAATAATGTGTCGATAATAGTGATATGTTGTCATTCGCCAGTACATCATTAACACATGACACCGGCAATTAACTGAAGTTTCAAGCATGTAACTAAATCAATCCTTTACTTGATAACTATTGTAAAACAAACGCACAGATCACAGGGAATTTATCAATATACATTTTGTATATAGTAAAAAAGATCGATTTTGATCATGTAAAGATCATCCTGCCGTTCAGCAAACAGTTATCGAAAAGCCTATCGTCACAGGGCAATTATTTACCTGACTGTCTTTACAAGACCTGAACACATTCGGCTTACTTACACAACTGTCCGGTAAACATTCATTTAAAAGAAACTTTTTCTCAGCATTATTTGTTTGTTTGTTTTGTTTTGTTTTTTTTTTTTTTTTGAGGGGGGGGGGGTGTGTGTTCTTTTAAGAACATCATGTTAAAACGTATAGGTGAGCATGTAAATGTATTGAGCCTTTAACGTGCTTGTTATCTGGTCGTTGTTTATTTCTCAGTAAAGGCTTAGCTAGCGGTACAGTTTCTCAGTGTGGCCATTAGCGATTTTTGAAAGATTAAAGATTTCAAAATTTTAAAAATTAATACTTGCTAAATTTTGTCTTGTCATGTTGACCGGGACAATGTGGGGTTTCGAATTTTTCAAGGAAATGTTTTTGCATTGTGTTGGAAATTACGATTTGGGCAGTTTAGAGTCTGTGTCTGCACACTGAAAACTAGTTTTACAGGAAATGAATTTCCTTACGCATTTAAACTTAGTCATGTTGTGAAGGCGTTCCGGGTTGGAATTCGCTGAAATGTAAGTAATATTTGTTACCATGTCAGTGTTGTTAATTTTAAGACAGGCGTTCCTTCTATAAAGTTGTAGTGTACGGTGGGAATTATTTTTGCATTTTTAGCATTTTTTAAACTTGATAATCATGGCAATTACATGTCAGAAACCAGGGAAAAGTTTTATTAACACATTTTTCTATTTCCTTACTGGTAACGTAATTATGATGTAGTTTATATATATATATATATATATATATATATATATATATATATATTAAGTAAGGGTGTGTTTTTTATACATGTATATCTAAATAGTGACCTTTAAATTTTTTACCCCTGCTACTTTAGAAACGTTGGGAGATAATTTCTTTTGTTTTAAATAGATATCCTACACGTGGACAAGTCGTCAGTTCGGGTTCACTCAATCTATCTTTGCATGTTAATAAACACAAAATTGCCATATTGGTATTTTCTTGATGTTAAATGTCGTCCTTACAAATTATAGCACATGTTTCCGCTTGTTTAATTGTCTTATCTTTTCTTTTCCGCAATAAAAGACCAACGGTCACCGTCAATCTGCTTGTTAAGATTTTATTGTTCTTGTTTATTCTAAACTCAATCGAAAACAAATGGCTTATTTTCATTTTTAAAAAATGAAATTGATGCTGGGCTTTAATAGGCCCTTGATATATTTTTGTCTATTTGTTGTAAGGGCCCGTTTTATTGTGGCTGATACGTGATAATTTGCTCTGTACTTTGTTGTTTATGTTTAGACCTGTCTCCGTTTTATGTTTTATCAGATAATGTTTTGAATATGCAATGTTAGATGTGGCAAAAATGTTGTTTTTTATTCACCTGTTTGTTACAGCTGTTGAGGTGATTAAGATTGGTTCAATCACTATGGCAACATACCTACAGATCATAAAAAATCAACAGAAGGAAAAGAATGGAAACAATTATTTAATCTGATTACTTTTTAATCCTTAAATCAAAGAAATTTCAAGGTAAGAATCAAAATACACTTGTTTTATGCAAATCATTACTACATTTGGTGCATTTTATCTCCACTGCGCCTGAAGCTCGACATCAGCGTTACATTCTACATATGCCGTCTAATGTCATATCATGATATGTATGCGTATGGATTTGTTGCACTGCCGATATCAAACCATACTTTGACATCAGAGAAGCTGTAAATTGCCGGTTATGAAATATATCAAAACTGATTCCATTTTCATACGTGACAGACAATAATGAATTTAGTTTGCTTCAATTCCGTCTAGGCGAAACACACATAAATATATTAAACCTGTTTCCATTTTATCTATACAAGACACTCTTATTCTATATATTCAAGTCTGGTTGCATTCTACAGGTCTATTAATGTATTAAGTCTGTTTCCATTCTATGTAGTCGAGATACGTATTAATATATTGAGTCGGGTTCCATGATATCTAGTTCAGACACCCATTAATATATTGAGTCTTAATTCATTCTATCTACCTGTCAATGTATGGAATCGGGTTGTAATCTATCTAGACGAAACAAAAATCAGTATACTAAGTTTCGCTCTATTCTATCTTATACAGATTATCAAATAATGCTATTGACAGTAAACGTAAATCCAATTAGCTTAACATCAACCATAATTCAATGGTTTATTTAGTGTTGCATCCTTAGTAACATTTTACATTAGAATAATACCGCCTTGTGATCTCGATTCATTTAACCTTTAACCTCTGACATATATCAATATCTTAATTATTACGTTCTCATTCTACCAACACAATCTATATAACCAAGATTTAGTAGAAAACTTAAATATATCACGCATTAATATAGTGATCGATGGTAATACGAAATGTTTAGCCAACCATGAATCTGTCCTTAGTCAGAACTACATTTCTTACATATCATCCTCTCTGGTGGAAATGAACAGATGGTTTCCATAAAAATCCAATCGTGAAAAAAAAAATGAAAATTGACCAATTATCATAAAACTATGGACTGAAA